TATTTTAAACACAGTAATATTAATTTCTCGTAATTTCAAATATATATATATATATATATATATATATATATATATATATATAAAAGAAAGAAACAGTAAGATATATAATCCGGCGTTCTTATAGATATATTTATTTTTTACAAATAGTGCTCAATGTAAATTACAGATATTCATATTATAAATTAATTGATTTAAAATATGTTTTTTCACACAGTTCTAACCTTGTTTCAAAAAATGAAGCTAAAAGCCCCGAATTTAATTTTTGTAATTTAATGTAATATATTACACACACACACACACACACACACACACACACACACACACACATATATATATATATATATATATATATATATATATATATATATATATATATATATATATATATATATACCGTTAATGATATTATTATGAAATAATTCTTGGATTTTTTCTAAGAGCACATAAAATTGGTATCCCTGAATATTCATATGAAGAGGAGAAATGCATTGAAAACATTTGTAAGCTCCTCCAATAGCCCACTTCAGATTCAATGCGAAACAAAAGCCTTACAAAATACTTCAAAATCGGAAAGTGGGTATTTTTGACAGGATTTTGTTAGTAACTTCCATTTATTTTGATCTAGTCTTGGAATCCTCCGAGGGTAGCTCCTTGTCGTGGTGGGGAGGCTTGTGTGATTCAATGTTTATGAGAGTGATGCCGTCGGGAGTTCTAAACTCCTGGTTGGGCGACCCTTGGCGGAAAGTTCGCATACTCGGATCCAGACTAAGAGCGATCAACTCCAGAGACCCCAAGAAGCGGATGACCATTACAACATATCTCAACGGTTGAACGAGCGGGTGAAGTGGTCTACGCATGACGGACATGCTACAGAAGGCGTCACACGAAATTATAATAGAGTCAGCTACAGTCCGTTGCAGTTTCATAACTGCATTCTGCATTTCTCAATCCATATGTGCCACCCACAACTGAAGGTCTTGAAATCAAGTGAGTAGGACACTTCCTGGCAAGTTGAGGTCCACCTGAAAGAAATTCACGCCAGAGACGTTTTTTGTTGGTTTTTTTTACTCTGATTGGCGATAAAGAAGTATGATGGGAGAAGGTTTTGCTGAAAATGGAAACCTTTGCATGTTGCCGGCGAATGGAGTCATCAACGCGGTCATCATCAACGAAGCGATCAGCAAAGTAGAAATGAAATTCTTGGATACGCGATAAAGCCAACAAAGATTCTTTGGATCTTACCTTCAACAAATCCATACTTAGCAAACATAAACATCCCTTCACCCCTCCGAGCACACACACAGGGAGGTATATTACATGCGTGTTTGCGTGTGTGATTGAATTGTTTTTTACGGTTTAGCAACCTTTTGCAATTTATATTAAAGCTAGGAAGTATTTTTAGACTGTGAAAATTTTTACGAGATAGTAATGATTTACTGACACAAGTCCTACTAATTAATCCATAGGTAAGTCGGGAAAAGGTGGTTTCATGCCTTTTTCATGTGTATTTGCGCGATATTGAATATAACGAATGGCACTGGAAATGAACTCCACTCTCTGATTTCTTATTCCGATCAATTTCTTACTGCTCGCCGTATATATATATATATATATATATATATATATATATATATATATATAGATAGATAGATAGATAGATAGATAGAGAGAGAGAGACGTTAGTTAATAAAAAAAGACAAAACGAAAGAATACTTATATAATCAGTTCGTAAAACATTTATTAAATAAAGCACGGAAAGAAACACGCCTGTGTCCTTCATCAACGGACCGAGAAATAAAAGCAGAAATGAGAATTACTCAGCGACAGATATTTTTGTAGACGGTTTATTTTCTGGTGGATATCATATTATCCGCAAAAATCCGACCTCTGTGTGTATCCTCGATATGCGAAACTTTTTATGAATATATATATATATATATATATATAAGCAAGTGTAAATGGATATAAATCCGACAGAATGAAGAAATTTTGAAAAAACAAACAAAAATCCTTAAATGTAGTTAAATGAAAGAAATGTCGACGTCTGACGTTTCGGTTTATTGTCTTGAAAAAGGTTTAATAAACCGAAACGTCAGACGTCATTTTCCAAAAAGCCAAAACACCTAAAGTTTTTCCGGAGTAGTATTACTTATATTTTAATATATATATATATATATATATATATATATATATATATATATATATATATAAAAGTGAACATAGAAGTCAACACTTAGAAAGCGACAGTCTGTTTCATGCTAGATGCAATCGTCGGGCCTGACGATTGCGTCTAGCTTGAAAGAGACTGTCGCCTCTAATGTTGACTTCTATGTTCACTTTCATATTTACACACGCTCTATCTCTGATATTGAGCACTTTATCCCATAAATATAGCACACCTTAAGACTATATTTCTTCATATATATATATATATATATATATATATATATATATGCAGAAATGTGCACACACACACACACTCCACGCACAAATAAACACACGCATAAATACACACACAGTCACACACACACACGTGTGTGTGTGTGTGTGTGTGTGTTTGTGTGTGTGTGTGTGTGTGTTAAAGATTAAATGCAGGCCAAATATGAAACGGAATCCGACATGATGATGAGATAAAGAACAAATAGGAAATGTATCGCAATCTAACATGTTTCACGTTAATTAAAAATTCATCAGAGAATACCAGAATTCCGTCACTTTGTCTTCTCTCATTTTCTGATGAAGCTTTAATAAAGTCCTAATAGAAAAAAAAAGTTAGATCACATGAGAAACTGCATAAAAAAAATTAAATCAAAACACCTTGTTTGACGTATTCAATGAAATGTGCATATATATATATATATATATATATATATATATATATATATATATATATATATATATGTGTGTGTGTGTGTCATAATAATAATAATAATTGTATATTGGAATTTTAGGACAATCTTTTGTTCCTTCTTAACAAAAAATAAAACCATAATAGTATCGAATAGATATTATAAATTATTATTAGTATTGTTGTGTTCTTGTGTATTTCAAATAATAATTAATACCAGCTTGAATCAGATAACATATGATTATTTAATTTTAGTTTTAGGCTTTGACCACCTTCTACCCGCCATTTTCATACACAAGCTTATTATTATTATTATTATTATTATTATTATTATTATTATTACTCGAATTCAAAAATATAATTATTTCACACTGTGTGTTTTCATTGTTTGAAATTTTGGTAAATATCTCTGAACCCAAGACCCCACGAGAATTTCGGGTGTCAGCTGTCGTTTGGTTACTGGGAAAGGGTATTATAAGGGTGGGGGTTTTTATTGCATTTTTTTTAGGGTGGGGTCGCCTGTGTGGCAGATGCTCCTTCGTCAAACAAAGAATATATTTTCTTTTTGGGGTAAAAAGCTTCTTTTACATGGACTGTTCACCTTTCTGGCAATAATGGCTTAAAACCGAATTAAATCTATCCTATCTCAAGCAGATTTCTATACCCGGGGTGGTACACATGCAGCTAAATGGTATGCTGATATATATATATATATATATATATATATATATATTTGAAGAATAAAAATATGGGATCATATTAAACATAAGATACAACAATATCCACGTTTAAAACATAAAATGTAAGGTACCTTTCGACCGACATATTTTCAAACACAATCGTCGGTAATCTAAAACAGAGTACTAACAAGAAAATTTTTTATTAATACCGTAATAAAACAGGATGGTAAGTGGGAAAATAAAAAAAAAATTATCTTATGTTTAATATGATCCCATATTTTTATTCCTGAAATGTCTGATTAGACTTGGCAGTACTAGAAATTTGTTTAAATATATATATATATATATATATATATATATATATATATATATATATATATATATATTGATTGACCACTAATATTTTATATATATATATATATATATATATATATAAAAAAAGAGAAAAGAATTGTAAAAAAAATACAGATTTATAGAGAAACAAATCCTGATTTTAAATTTACAAAATATTCATGTTTACTTATGTTAGGTACAGCATCCCTTCAGCAAGTGGGCGATCACTGTTCTCCACGATTTCCACTTATTTGTAGCCCTTAGCACTGTTTATCTTTTCACCACCCCTCTCCATGCTTGATTCGACATCCATTCACGCCATTTTGGGCGGGATACACACTGTTTCTCTATGTACTGAGGATTAATTTCTCCAAATCCTCTTTCTACGTTATGTGATGGAAGTGCGGATGGTGTAATAGAGCGAGAAAATCGGGGAACCGTGTTCAACTTTTATTCAAGTGTGTTACATTCATATAAGCGAAAACACCCTTACTGTATGAGGTACTGTATGGGAATGTAAGAAATATAACGCTCATAATCCGTTTTTAGATTTTTCCCCTCTGTAACCACTTACTTCACAGGCAAAAACGTCGCAATCCTCTCGTTGCTCTATTGCCATTTCCATCGTGAATGTTGAGATGAACTCCACTCCTTAGTTCCACCAGAACTAAACTTCACCACTACAACCCGTCATGCCACGCACATTTTGGCGGACCATCCTCATTCCTTCCACCCGCCCTTGTTGAGATGTAAGTTCCACTCAAGCAGCACCTTCCACCGAACCACTTCCTTGTGAAACCGACTCCCAAGAGGATGTTCCCTCGATCACAACTATCATATCATGTTCAAGTCTAAGGTTAACCGTTGTCTTGCACACATATCCAAATAAACAGTATCTCTTTCTTTGTAACCCTCTAACTCGAGTGGCTCTTAGGCCTTGTACAGGGCTACCGCCACTGTAGCCACTGTAAGAAGAAAAGAAAACAAGACGAGTGCGTGTTGGTTCCCATTGCTGGAAAAGTAAACGAAAAGTTTTACAGCAGCTTATTCTATGAGGTCAAAGACATAAAATGCCAAGTCGTAGACCAGCAAAGATTTACAATGAGTAACCGAAATCAGAAAGTAAGAACGGAGAAGGTCTATGGATGATGGCAATGGTTGGGAAGAAGTGTTTCCTTGACGACCATCAGATAGATAGATAGATAGATAGATAGATAGATACTGAAATGTGATAGATAGATAGATAGATAGATAGATAGATAGATTATAGATAGATAGATAGATATAATATGAACAGACTGAGATAATAAACAGACTGTGATAGATGGATAGATAGATAGATAGATAGATAGATATTGAAATGTGATAGATAGATAGATAGATAGATAGATAGATAGATAGATAGATAGATAGATAGATAGATTATGAACAGACTGAGATAATAAACAGACTGAGATAGATAGATAGATATTGAAAAGTGATAGATAGATAGATAGATAGATAGATAGATAGATAGATAGATAGATAGATATTGAAAAGTGATAGATAGATAGATAGATAGATATTGAAAAGTGATAGATAGATAGATAGATAGATAGATAGATATTGAAATGTGATAGATAGATAGATAGATAGATAGATAGATATATAGATATTGAAATAAGATAGATAGATAGATATTGAAATGTGATAGATAGATAGATAGATAGATAGATATTGAAATAAGATAGATAGCTAGATAGCTAGATAGATATTGAAATGTGATAGATATTGAAATGTTATAGATAGATAGATAGATAGATAGATAGATAGATTATGAACAGACTGAGATAATAAACAGACTGAGATAGATAGATAGATAGATAGATAGATAGATAGATAGATAGATAGATAGATAGATAGATATTTTCAATCTCTTTCACCGCATGCAAGTCTTTAAGACCAATGAGACACAAGGGGGTAATGGGGGGGGGCGAATTAAAAACAGAAACACCACTAATGAGTGTGAACTAAAATAATAATCCTGAGGATAGTAGATAGCGATTGACATCGCATTAAAATGTTTGAAGATTAAAATTGGCTGGAAAGCATGGTGCCGGAAGAGAGTTCCACAAGCGAGAAGTGTGAGAAAAGAAACTCTTGGCATGGAATTTAAGGTTACATCTAGCCAGCTTAACATTAAACTGATGAGATCTCGTACTGCGCTTAAATTAAATCTAGTCAACATAAAGAAGAGCTCATCCAAACAATTACTATGAAAGTTTTTTTTTTCTATAGAAAAGACACAGAGAGACAACCATAGGGCGGTGGGAAAGTGATTGAAGCCGAGCCGCCAGATCAGGACCGATAATATTGCTGATCTCCTTTGGATTTTATCAAGAATAAGAATAACACGGAAACACATGTTTGCAGCAATATTCTAAGCATGGACGAAAGATAAATGCATATATACACCCTTATGCAAATTAACTGAAACAAAACGAATAATTCCGTCATTATTTAATTTTTCGTATTTTTCCAATGAAACATGACCCAGTGCACATTTTACTTCGTATGTCCATTCTAGGAAGTCGTTCCTTACAGATTGACCACAGATTCTCGATTAGATTTAAATCAGGAGAGTTTCCGGGCCAATCTATTTGCTCACTGGTTTAGGCTTGCCAGTGTGTTTGTGCAGCGTTACAATTTACGTACGCTTCCTTAGAGTAAAGTTCATCGCAGACAATGACCGCAAGACAACTAATCGACAGTCGAGACAATAGTGTTTAGGCGTGATAAAAATCTGATGCAATCGTGGATGACGTAATATTTTTCAAGGACAAACAAATTGCATCATTCACCCTGAAAATAGATTTATATTACTGCACACCACTGCAAATGAGCTAATCGGAGGAAAAATAATAATCGATTACACCCTGTCACTCCAGTCCGGCTAAAACTGACCGTATGGTGTAAGAAAGGAATCTAAAGCTGTTGTTTCAATCAATTTGCACAAGGGTGTATATAAACACACGGGCGAGAGAAAGAAAGAGAGAGAGATTGAAAAAAACGTCTTTTACAATAAAGTTATTTTCTGAGAATATTGCCGAATTTGTTGTCAGTGTTCAAAATCTGTAAGTGTAACTCTCTAGGTCAACAGTAGAAACCGTCTTCTTATGCGGGTCAAGAAGTTGGACATTACACCAATCACCGACAAAATTGGTACGTACTCGATTACTGAAAGCTACTTTAAGTGTCAGCTTTAAACAACATCTGTCCGATGACGAACTATATATGGGAGCCTGCCAAAGATTACAGACATAATCTTTGAAAGGCGAATACGATTTAGTGGCTATAGGTGGGAAAGTAAACAAGAAGTTGTACACCCGCTTATTATGTGGGATAGAAATTATCAGAAAAGATCGAGAATTGGACCGAGGAGAAACTTCGTAGTTCAAAACTCATAGAACGACACCGAAATAAATGGGTTGAGTTATGGACAACAGAAATGTTCGGAAAATGGCGGTCAGAAGCGTTCATTTGAGGACAACCTGGTAGAGAGATAGTGATTAGCAACCAGACAGACAGATTGTGGTTAACGAGATAGCTATGAAACGTATTAATATAGTTGTAGGTTCGAACCTCATTGGCTGCCAACTCCTTAAATTCCATTTATTAGAATTTCTGATATCTTACTTATTATAAAACCCAGGTTGTGTGTGTGTACGTTTATATATTGGATCGGATTTCCTACATTTTTCAACCGATTTCAACAAAACATCACAGGACTACGTAAAATTACCTTGCGGTGGTTCTGACAGCACCAAAAATTGGAAAAACACAATTGTTTTTGCACAAAATCAATTTGAAAACACGATTAAGAGGCATTAATTAAAGGGGGACAACTCATATCGAGTTATACTTATAAAACCCAGGTTGTTTGTGTGTGTGTGTGTGTTCGTTTATATATGGGATCGGATTTCCTACATTTTTCAACCGATTTCAACAAAACTTCACTTCTTTTTTGGCAGGTAGTGTTTCTTATTTTCTTGCACACTTTTTTCTTTATTTTTACATTCAGAATGCTTTAAAAATTTCATTTACAAGACAATTGTTTATAATAAAATTTTATTCAATCGGTAGACTCATAACGATTGAAAACAATGTTTTTGTTTGAGTTTGGGTTTGACCAATTCGTAAAAAAAAATAATTAAGACATGCGTGGCCGTCAACATTAAACAATAATCTTTGTCAATTTTATTTTTCAGTCTTTATGATGGTCGATACTTGATCTATATCTTACTGTTACATCTCCGGGTAACGCCGGGCTCTACTGCTAGTTTGTAATAAATACGTAAAAAGATGTTTTATCCCTGTGCCTATCCAGGGCATTTTTGTGTGTACTATCCAAACGTTCATGTTTGCTTTCAGATTTATAACTATTGCAAGACAACTCAGTTTATTTGGCAAATAGTATGTGCTGATTTATAGTATTTCCCATAATAATACGTGATGCACAGAACGTACAAATCATAAGTTATTTGCATTGTGTTCTATGCATCACATTTGATGATGGTGTATGTAAGGCGTATGTTCATAAAGGATGTGGCACATAGAGATAAAGAAATAAGTAGGGGGGTAATATTGTTTTTTAAATCTTGGACCCTTTAATCTGACTCTTGTAAAGATGAAGCGCGGCATAATGACTCTCATGGCTGAAAAATGAAGACTGATTAGCTCCAGGCCAGATATGACAGCAGTATTCCATTTTGAGTTTAATCAGACTCTTGTAAAGATGAAGAGCGGCATAATGACTCTCATGGCTGAAAGATGAAGACTGACCAGCTCCAGGCCAGATATGACAGCAGTATTCCATTTTGAGTTTAATCAGACTCTTGTAAAGATGAAGAGCGACATAATGACTCTCATGGCTGAAAAATGAAGAATGAGCAGCTCCAGGCCAGGTATGACAGCTTTACACTATTTGGGGTCTAATCTGACTCATGTAAAGATGAATCGTAGCATATGGATTCTGTTAAGGCTGTAATCTGACGATTGAGCAGCTTCAGCCCAGATTGTGTCCGACTTGGTGATTGTAAATGCTGGAAATCAAAACGGGATAGCTGAACAGTTTTTGGTGCACATTATGAGGGAAGAAAGTTTGAAGAATTTAATATTTAAAGGTTGCATCTAAGGTGCATGTTCATAAAGGATAGAGACATAAGTAGGGGGATAATATTGTTTTTTGTTTTAAATCTTGCATCCTTAGTTTTACTTGCTTCTCATTGCAGTTACTCAACACTGTCATTCTACGAATTAAGTGGATTGCAAATAAAGACAAGTATTTCAACAGAGGATGGAAAAGGAAACACCGAAATGTGAAGGCGGATTGGAATAGCCAAAGTTGCCTTTCAAAATCTAAGCAAAATATTAAGAAACAGAAAAAAGAACCGAGATGTCCGAGGGATTTTCTCAAGACTCTCTTGATGTAAACCAGAAACACCAGACTAAATTTGCCAGCAATATTCAATATTCAACGTAAGGACGAATATACATACATACATATATATATATATATATATATATATATATATATATATATATATATATATATTCTGGTGAGATATATTGTCTAGCAATGATTATGTCGACATTGTTTCTGTCTGCTGATTTAGCAATATACTCAATATAATCATATCAGTGGGAAACGTAGAACCAAAAGAAGGCACAGTGAATTACTCTCCAGCTATAATGATAGAAAGAAGAAACTGATCTTTATCCTTTTACCTGTCCAGGCCATTTCCGTGTGTACGATCCAAACGTCCATGCTTGTTATCAGATATACGGTAGAATAATGGATAGCGGCTTGCATTGAGGAATCGGAGAGCTGAATTCTAATCGGATCCATTGCATTCACTTGCTAATACTCTTGGGAAAGGTATGAATCCGCTTCTTTTCTCCCCAGCTATAGGTAAATAGCCTTGGATGGCAAATGGTCTACCGCAGAAAGAAATGGTAATCTACTGAGGAAAAAATCTATCTCGTCAGTCATGTATCGAAAGATACATGATCGCCTAAGCGTGTATCACGCATGACACATAACTGACTGAACTATTGCAAGGCAACTGAGCTTATTTGTCAAATAGAATGTGCTGATATATAGCGTCTTACATATTAAAAACCTGTGTGATACACAGAACGTACTAATCATAGGTTATTTACACTAAGCTCTGCTCATCACATGTGATGCAAAGGTTATAATCATTTCAATAAAGTGGAGAACTAGATGTCTTTCATTTCAGATAAATATATATCAGACAAGCGTCCTGTTGCCATACATGATGCACAAAATATTAGATTTGGCCTCATCTCCGACGTCTTGCTCAAGAGTAGTCTCTTTGCTTAAGCGTCCATAGTTTTACCACTCTTTTAATATCATGGCTTGTGTGCACGACATATGATGCAGGGACCTGTAAATCACATGTCCAGTGCATCGCACGTGATGCCCTGAACTGGAAAATTGTTAAGCAAGGCCAAATAGCGAACAACAAGAATATTCCTGTAATATACGATATATCTTAGAAAGGTTTTCATTAATAAGCGTTGCTGATGTTGGGTATCTTATATGTCAGTGAGTTATAAAAGTCCATAGGTTTTATATGAGCGCCGATTTCATCAAATATGACTGGTGAGAGAAAACATTCTGAGAATTCTAATACACTTCGCTATTCTATTTCTGGTAATGCAGTCTAAACTCTTTGATTATCCAAACTTATGACATCAAATCGTACCTACGTAAATTTAACAAAGATCTTTTTACACCGTTGATGAAATCGTAATTTTTCCCCCGCTGGAAACAAAGATTAGTGTTCGAATGAACCAAGTTAGTAGCTTCGGATACTGAATTTTATAGCTTGCATCGACATCAGAGGTTGATGTAAATTTTCTTTTTATTTCTTCCTACGACCGAGTCCAGTGTTTTAAATTCGAACCAGATCTAGGGGCGTGAAATTCGAACTGGATCTAGGGCCTTGACATTCGGACCAGATCTAGGGCCTTGAAATTCGGACCGTATCTAGGGCTTTGAAATTTGAACTGGATCTAGGGCTGTTAAATTGGAACTGGATCTAGGGCCTTGAAATTCGGACTGGATCTAGGTCCTTGAAATTCGGACTGGATCTAGGGTCCTGAAATTCAAACAAAATCTAGTTGCTTGAAATTTAAACTAGATTTAGCATCTTGAAATTCAAACTGGATCTACGATCTTGAAATTTAACCTGGACCAAGGGTTTTGATATTCGAAGAGGATCTACATTTTTGAAATTCAACCTGGATCTAGGGTCTTGAAATTCGAACTTAATCTAGGGTCTTCAAATTCATAGTGAATGTAGGTTCGTGAAATTCAAGCTGGATCTAAGGTCTTGAAATTCTGACTGAATCTATGGTTTTCAAATTCAAACTGTATCAAGAGTATTGAAATACAAATTGGATTTAGGGTCTTCAAATTTATACTGGATTTAGTGTCTTGAAATTTAAACTGGATCTAGGATTTTGAAATTCAACCTGGTTTCAATCCAGGTTAAAGACTTCTAATAAAGCACTAGTGAATTGTTGAGAATGCTGAGACAAGCGATAGATATTTGAAAATATAAATAATCCTTTCACTTAATCCTCCACCCTGTCTTTTTCAAGTTTATTTGAAAAAAAAAATTCAAGTATAAAAATATATAAATTTACAAAAACAATATAAGTCTTTCTATAAACGTTGCTTGTCTAAGATTTATGACAAATACAGTAATTGTAGCACAAGACCCCAAAAAAAGGTAGACTAGTCAAGGTTGGTCGTCACTAGCTATCTTATACCTAAGTAATCGGATTCACGACACAGTCATTCATTACAATATAGTCATTCACAATAAGAATTTATCCGTCACCATTCGCTCCTTTATACATTAAAATACCTCACACACACACTGAACATCTACTGAAAAAAAATAAAATAAAATAAAAACACTCCATCAGTTAAAAATTCCAATATGTACAATTATGTATAAATTGTTTCTATTTTAATGAAAAAACGGCAGTACTAGTAATGAACGCGTCAAAATGAATGAAACTCTGCCAGCGTGAAGGCATGAAACTAAAACGTGCTTAATATGGTGTTTTAATTCCGTAGTAGTCCGGGATATTTTTTCAACCAAAATGACTTTTCGTTCTGTTCGTAAGGATGTCTTATCTACACATCAATAAAATTTAATCGTTTATCTATATAAATGTCAGTGTAAGTCTGACTATGTGGGTAAGACTATCCAACGGTTGGAGGTTAGAATCGTCCAGCCTGTCCCTGGCCAAATACATAGGCCTGTCACATCATGGCGGCTCACAAGCTCATGAGTCTGCTATCGGCGAAGATTTATTGAATTCAGTTGCTTCTAAGACTGGCTACTCTGTCGGTTGCTTCTCCGTTCTGTACAGGGCAAGGTCAAGACTCCACCTTGTTGGCAGTTGTTATTAATATACAACGTCCGACCCTGGGTAAGTAGAAAGAATTAAAGAACAAACTCACATTTTTTTGTTTGTCTTGTAATGAAAAAAATAAAGAAGAAGCAAAAAACGGTTGTACTGATAATGAACGTGTCAAAACGAATGAAAAGCAGCCCGCGTGAAAGCAT